TCGCCCCACCGCAGCACGTGCTGGAAGGTCTGCTGCAGGGCAGAGCCCACCTGGGGGCCAGGGGCCAGCCCGGGCACAGCCAGGGACTGGGGCCTTGCGCTGCCCTCTGCGCCGGCTGCCCTCCCCAGGGCGTCGGGGGGGAGCTCGTCATCCACGGCGCTGCTGTGGCCCCCCTGAGAAGGCTCCAGAGCCCCCCGAGCCTGAGCGGCGTGATGGGCAGGAGACGGGGGTGACTCCAGCCGACGGGACAAGGGTCTTACATCCACGGAGAGGTGGTGGTGCTCAAAGAGCAGGTCGAGGTGGAAAGTCAGCACTGAGAGGGGCTGGATGAGCAGCAGGAGTTCATCAGCGAGGTGAGGAAGAGGGCCTTGACTCAAGGCAAAGAAGGCCGTGGGTGAATACAGCACAGAGACGACACCTACGAGATATGGACAGTGCTGGACAGCTGCAAAACGCCCTGCCCTCGCCCACACGTCCATCCCAAAACCAGCGGGTCCATGCCAGCAGGTCAAATGACACTCAAAATTGTCTGCTCTCATCCAGCACAACAGTGTCAGAAAACGATGCCCTTATCCTCTACGGAAATCCCAGCCAAGCATTGTGGGTGGAACAGGCACAGGATTATCACCCTGGCAGGCAGGAGAGGACCTGAATGGCAGCTTCTGGGCTCTGTGTCCTTACCTGGGCTCTTCTGCAGGTGAGAGATCCACAGCTCCAGCTGCTTAATGCTAAACATGACAAAGGGACCCCAGGTGAGAGCTCCCGGGACTCTGCTCCAGCCTGCCCTGCAGCAGGGACAGCCCGGTGCAGCGGGGCCAGTACTCACTTCAAAAGGCCGAGGATAAAGGCATGAAACTTCTGCCTGGTGCTGCTGAGAGGGGCCAGCCCGGCCACGTGCCAGCACAGCGAGTGGAGAGCGCGGCTGCTGGGGCCTGGGGAGCACAGGACTCAGTCACTGCTCTGGGGGGACACCCTCCCCCAGCCTGGGCTGAAAAAGGGCTGCAGACACCTTGAGACGCCAATCCCAGCACCTCCAGAGCCTGTTCCTCACACTGACCTGTCTTCACGGAGGCTTCCACCACGCTCCAGGGGGAATTTTTCCTCTGGCCTGTGATAACGTCCTTCTGGAACGGCTTCAGCCCATCCTCCACCAAGGCATAGAGCGCCGGGCAAAGGGTGTACAGCAGCAGGTAGCCCACATCTGGGCTAAGCCGGCTGTCCCCAAGCTGGGCCTGGAGTAGGGAGGCACAAGGAGAGGGAGGGAGGGGAACGGCAGCACCCAACCCTGTGTCTGCAGGGAGGGACGGTGGGATCACCCCCCCTGGAGCTCCCAAAGCCCCTCCAGCC